TAAGATACAATAACATGAAATTATTGAGTGAGGATGTTAAAACTTCATATCTTGCGGGTTATGGAACTAGCGAAAACTCTGATTGATGTGAAACTGCCCACCCCGTGCAGAACTTGAGAATGTTGTCAGGACTGCCGACTTAAGGGTCATCTTCACGCAGGGGATGGTCATGCTGTGCGCATCATCCGATAGACACTTGGCGGCACAATTGGATATAAGCAGTGGGCAATTCGCAGGAGGCGCCGACCCTCGAATTTGTGTGCAGAAGGAAGTTTACAGAAATTTGGGAGGAGTAAAATCGATGCTGGACTCTGTGATGCACAATCCTGCACCAAGTCGACGTGCCTTTGTCTAGCCTTGGTATCTCTCAGTTGGAATAATCCAATCAGAGTCGAGTGAGAAACAAGGCGTAGCATTAGCCAATCAGCAGCAAGCTCGAGGCGATGAAGTGGTCAGGTGCAGCAACCGCGAGATCATTCCAGACATTTCTCCGTCCTTTCGCGCCTTCTCTTCATCTCACGCCTCCTTTGCGCCATCTGCGCCTTCTCGGACCGCAATGTCCTCGTCCAGCTACCATAGCGAGTTAAACATCCCCGTCAAAAAGGATCCTAGGACTTTTGAACAACAACGAGATGATATGTTCAGCAAATTGGAGAGGAGCTACAGTTCGTCCTCCAAGTCCACAGTTACGGAAGGTAGCAAGCCCACTGGCCTCATAAAATCTTCTGCCGGTGATGCGGAAGACTGGGACTCCGAGGTTTCACGCTGGATCTCCGAATCAAGGAAGCGATGGGGGCGGGACCTTAGTCGTATGCGGCAGGACATGTTCGCCTTGGAGGTAAGTCCTAGACTGTTTCTCGGGGTCATCACCTTAAGTTGTTAGGCGCTAATGTGTCCACAGATGAACCAAAAGAGTGGTTGATCAGTCGCCCACGCGCCACCCACTTGATGTCGTCGATGCAAAAACGCTCCATCAGCCCCCAAGATTGGTTGTGCAAGATCCGAGCATGCGAATGTGATTATT